CGGTGGGAGGTCTCTGTTTCTTTTTTTTTTTTTTTGCGTTTCTCCTGTTTTCTCAGCCCAGAAATTCGTAATGAACCTGTCGGGCCGCTGCCACTCAGTGTCACACTGGATCGGCCACACTCCTATCCGACTGCTAATGGGACCTCGCCCCTGCTCTTGATCCTTCGTTTTTTTTTTTTTTTTTCACCTTTGAAAGCTCCAGTCTATTGGTGGGGAGCAGCACCGGCTGGAGCATGGTCCCACTAGCAACGGGGATTAGATTAAGATCCTGAATCTGGGCATGTTTTAGGCAGAGATGCAGAAAAGCAGTTCAATCTCGATTTTCTGCACTTGTCCACAAACGCGGCCAATTAAGGCGTTCAATCCAATCCTCTTTGCTAGTGGGACCTCGCCCCTGGGGCCAGGTCCCACTAGCAGCGTTGAGCTACCTCAACGCCCGGATCTGGACGTGTTTGTGGAGACGTGCAGCTCAGGAAACTCAACACCATTTCTGCACATCTCCGCAAATGCGTCCAGATTCAGGCGTTGAGGTAGCTCAACGTTGCTAGTGGGACTTGGCCCCTGGAAACGGGGTCCAGCCTCCCATGTATTTTACAAACGAAGTACATCTACCTCATCTTTGCAGGGAAAAAAAAAAAAAAAAAAAAAGGCAAAATCATCAGCATGTCTTACATGTAAACAAACAAAAAAAAAAAGAGTCTTTTGAAACCCAAACAAAGAATATCTACCTATTCATTGGAGAAAACAAAAAAACAAAAAAAAGGAAAATCATCAGCTTATCTTACATGTAAAAAAAACAAAAAAAGGAGTTTTTTGAAACCCGGACCAGATCCATTGGATCTAATGAAGTAATTCATAGGGTTCCCTGATTGCCTGTTTTTGTCGTTTGTGGAGCGGAAGCTCTTCCAATCCCGATCCCATCTGTCAGCAGCATGGCACAGTGCCATGCGGCTCGGCCTTCACCAACGAGCAGCAGGTCATCGTCGAACTTCTTCTTTTTTTTTTTTTTTTTTTTTAATTATTAATTTTTTTAATAAATGGCACTGTGGTCAAAGGAAATCCACGCGGCCTCGACCAACGAACAACTGTCATCTTCGGACTTTTTTTTTCTTTTGTTTTTTAATAAATGGTATCCAATCTAGTAAAACATCCCTTTTTACTCGCACGATCGCGATCTGCTTTTGTCTCATTAAATGACCAATTAATTTCAGAAAAAGGGGGCAGCCCGAACCCCCCGTTCCTACCACTTATCCCCACAGTCCTGTCAGCAATCCGGCGACACGTGGCTCCCTCCCTGCTCGACAGCTGTCATCGTCAAAGGTTTTTTTCGTCCTCCTTTAAAAAAAAAAAAAAAAAAAAAAAAAAAAAA